TCTTTCAATCAGTGATTTTCGATAAATCCATGGTGGAAAGTTTACAGATGAGCACCCTGTATGTAGGTACAATGCAAATAGTAAAATCACAAGGATGTTAAAACAAAGAGGATATAACAAAAAGATAAAATGGATTTATAAATAATAAATTAAATTAGTAATAGACATTGCAATGAGCAGACCGAACAATTTGAAAAATAGCACATAAACAGAATCTTGGATAAGATACATATGTATATAGCAGGACATTAGGTACCTCAACGAAGTCGAAACGATTAAAAGCTTTAAAGACAGATGTGCTTACATATTAAAAAAACCCGTGCAGATAATAAAAAAGTTTATCAGCCTTTCTCAGGCGTTTTTCTCAATACAAAATATGTGTATTCCTCCGACTCTATCGACTAGCTATTGTATATTTTGAAGCAAGTTAGCACCGGAGACTTTTTGAAGAGGTTCGAGTTTTTCGTTGGTATGCTTAATTCGTATCCTATGCTGGCCGATTAGTATATTTTATATTCAAGGGGTTGGACCGAATTGTATATGATCAAAAGATGGTTCACAATAAAAGCTATAAGTTTGTACCATCCCCTCGTTCTCAATTCAGGTTTCATCATAGCAACAATATCTCATTAACGGATGATTGTGGTTATTATCTTAGAGTAATAGATAAAAGTAATGTCACAACAGCAGTTATGGTTGACCTCATTAAACCATTTGATTGTTTATATCTTGGCTTGTTGCTCACCAAGCTGCTCTATTTAGGATTGGCAGAGTTTTAGAAAACGTGAATGAATGTAATTCTCTTTCAAATGACCGAAATTGTTTAAAAGGTTCCATCCTTCGGACCATTTTGTGTACTTTATATTTGTCCGACTTGTCTACCGTAGTAAATCATGTATAAATACATCCTTATGTAGATGATAAGCAACTCATCTGTCCTATAAACCTGACCAGGTCGCTGTTGCAAATTTCCAACTTTCCAATTGTAACGTTCCCGTCAAAGCAAAGTAACTTTAGTGATACCTATACCTACTCGTAAGTGGGGAGGAACTTGCTCATAAGAAATGCGTTCGCAATCTTAGAGTTTACTTTGACGTGCACCTTACATTTCATGAACATGTAACTAAGACTTTTAATAATATCAGAAATGTGTTGACAAAGGATACCTTTTTTTAAGTAATTAACTCCCTTATACTGAGCAAGGTTGAATATGTTGACATAACCACAGGTCCTTGTTTGAATCTAACGGAAGCCCAACGGATTCAAAAGCTGCAAAACTGTTGTATTAGGTTTGGTTCAGTCGGTGCTACTACGGAAACAACCAGTTTACTTGCATGAATAGCTATCTTTCAGAACTACCATCCATGATATTACTTTGACACAAAACAACCGTTTTTAAATATTCTTTTCGTATCCAGGATCTAACTTGTACAACAGTGTTCCTACTACTCATAAAATCAAGTTTCTCAGAGCATTCAAATCTAGAATCAATGATATAAGCCACAGATTTTGTTGGATTTTGAATGGATGTGACTACGTAAGTGTTTTGTTTTTGACTCTTATATTTTGTCTATGTATTAACAATTTTTTTTGATGTGTGTAATTTAATTTAATTTCATCCCAAGTACTCTTTTTTTATAATACTGTGATAAGGTATGCACTTGTTTTGAACACTGTACACATGCAGCCCTGGTTAGCATGGAAAAACAGCATTAGCTGATTGTCCGCCAGGTAAAAATAAAGGCTTATTACTATTATTATTATTATCATTATTATATTGGCTGCTTATGCCATTCCAAGCGAACATGGCGCAAAGGTAGATATAGATGGAAATTAATGTAAGCAGGTTAGCAAGTCATATAACATTCAAAAAGCAATCTGAATTTTTGACGATTGCAATAATTTTTTGCCAATTTGGGTGGCAAGTAAAAAGAAAACTTGTTTTTGTTATCCACCAACAAAAAGGTTGTCTTCAAGATATATTAAAGTGACCCCGCTGACCCTTAAGGCTGGATCCGCCCTTGGATTCAAGCTTGTCTCTCCCTTTTGGCCGTAATTCCCTATATGCCGATAAAGTTCCCGTACAAAAGATCTGAAAAAGAAATGGAACCAACACAAATCGCTAGTTATGCTGCTATTGATTGATCGGCCAATGCGATAGGGAAAACTTGGGGTGAAACTTCAGGAGACAGTTTTTGCAGACAAGAATTATTTGCGCATCGGAGATGGTGAATGGTAATCTTATTCGCATTAGGGAGGAAGTATGTCATGTGCAAAGTGTAATAAAGTTCGAATCGTGGAGGCGAATATAGATGTGTGAGAAAAAAAAGCGTCAAGTAGGTTGGCCCTGCACTTCCTACGTAATGCTGTAGTCAGTTCACAAATGACTATATTCGGACCAAGAAAGTCCATTTGAGATAGCTGCAATATGTATAACAAAATAATCAAATCTGTCAAGTCAACCAAGCAGGCCCATATACAATTAGTACATACTCCATAGTCCCCATCCATTTGATAACGTTAGCGCTAGTTTCTTCCCTACCCTGGACCACTTAAGTGAACACCTCATAGGCGCTATTATAACATGCCTGTTGGCGTTGCTGTCAGAGCATGGCAAGCACAAATATTTCTCTAAGTTATAAGGGCAAATTTACGGGGAAATCGTCGTTGTGTGAAGTATGTACTGATAGGTATGTAAGATTACTGGGGCTAGACGCGTATAAATATACTGCCGCCAACACAATGAGATATACCTGCCCATATCCCCTACAACCACCGACCCCTGATTTCAACCGCCACAAAAAATTTTCGGAAAATAATCAGGAGCTTTTGAAACGTCAAAAAAAAAACGAAGTTTGAGCAACTTTTATTCTTTTAGTGTTTTTGCGTCTACTTCCGCCATCACTGCACCGATTTTTTACAAAGCCTTTTGTCCTTGGTGTGATAGTAACCTTGTATGAAACATTTATCCAAATTCGGGCGGCACTTCTCATGTTATATGCGATTAAAGGACAGACCGACAGACAGAAGACAGACCGACGAAAACAAGTGATACGGTTTTTCGTGATGCACATGTCATATAACATCAAAAAAAATATATCTCATTTTAGAAATTTTTCTCGATTACAATACTTTATCGCCAGTAGGCGTGAGAAGTGAAATGGCGTTAAATAGGGTGACCCTGCAGCTCCTACCCAACGCTGTCATTAATTCAGAATGGGCTATGTTATAATATACATATATGGTGTAAAGTTATATAACTTGGATAGTATCGGTAGGATTTTGATGAATTTTTGACACAAGGTTACTACTATGCTGAAGGCAAAAGTCGTTGAAATTTTAAAAAATCGATTAATAGATAAAATTAAATTCGATCAAACTTTTTTTACATTTCAGAACATTTTCAGGGAAAAGTTGTAGGGGCCAAAAGTTAGGGATAGAGGGTTGCAGAGGGCCAGCAAGGATATATCCCAATTTTTTCATGCTTGTATATTCATTCGCTTCCAACCTCGTCAATTCCACATTATAAATTTTCCCATACACTTGCCTTAGAATGATATGAGATATATCTTAAACACACGAATATACCTGTGTAAGGGTCTAGCCGTTGGCTGGCGGGCGATGTTTGACAATGGACAATGGAATAATTGTATAGGCTTGTCCGTCTAACTTTTTGGAACAGAGGAATGGTGCTTTTAGAAGTTTCGTTCCAGGTTGCAAATACACAAAAGTTACTAAATAGTAGGCCTGTAATTGTTCTACGATGTAGAGCTTTGGTTTTTGTCCTCCATGCCACAAGTAAACAAATGTCGGCAGTCTATTCTAATATATTAGGAACCCCAATTGGAGCAGAAAAATGATACCGTCGAGTCAATCTCAGCGAAACAACTGACTTCAAATACGTAACTTACGCAATATATTTACCGAATAAACACGTTTCCATCAATATTGCAGGTACAGAAAAACTTTTTAAAAATCCTCCCATAATAAATTTCTAAAGTTTTGCAGTACAAAATTCTAAATCAACGAACTATGCTACGATCCAGTTAGACAGATTAAGAATGAAATCTGCCAGAACATGGATATTAGTTGTTGGTGATTATGAGCTATTAAATGTTCAAAAACGCTAAACCCTGAGATCCTACAATTCCACATTTTATATTCTTGGGTTATAGGGTAGTTACAAAGAGATTAAAAATGAGGTTGCCATTACCCTTCTGCCCAGCGGGTTTACCTGCAGAACGTGTCGTAATAAATTGTAACCTTGAGCTTTTACTCCCATAATGAGACACCTTAATTAAATTCTGGCTAACCTGTTTCCGTTTAATCTCTCTTGCTATATTGTAACTATCTAAAACGGTAATGACTCATACGAGTGATCAGAGAATGACCACCGCTGGACCACTGAACGGCTGTCGAGAGGCGTCAGGCCAGAACAGGGTAGTATTCTAAACTCTGCGTGTTCGATTTACATATTCTAAATAATACACATTTTATTTGGGTAACAATATGTCCCACCATCATCTTGATAAACTTTGAGATATTAGAATACAAGTATGTTAATGAACAACAATTGGGAAAATATGGGCCTACCGTTTTGATTCAGTTCCTTATTACAATTTTAATTCTTGTATGATGCTCCCAACATCTCATTCATTTGTTATAATAATCTTGACTAAAATGCATGGCTAGAAATATGGTTCAGCCTTGTCAAGTATAGGGTTTGCATCATCTTCGATTTGATCCAAAATCAATGTCTCTATTCAAATTGGGGGTACTGTCGTTACCACTGAGAGTACAAGGCCAAACAACTGGGCTCTGAAAAGCCTGTGACATCACGCAAAGTAGGCCTATGCATGTTCTTATGGAGTTTCGCGATTGCTGGCTGGCAAGAGAACCGCGCCACCATTTCTCTGGGGTGTTGTCATATCTAGGTTTGATATAGCAGTATCGAAATCTCTACTAATTAGTTGTACCTCTCTGTGGGCGAATTTGCAAGCTGTACTCGGGGCCTCCGCAGCTTCAGTGATGATGTGATTATTCTTTCTGATCTGCCTCAGTATGTCGAGAATACATTTTCGATATTACGTTCAATCTGTCACTTGTGAAGACTAATATTCCATTCAAAATTGGAATATGTGTATGTGTAGAAGTGCTGCGTTCCTAATTGGGTCGGTAATTACGGGACGGGTCCGAAGGTACACGTATTTTCGTTTCCATTGAACGAAAACTGTCGTAAAAGATGGCTCAATGAAATCCCTCGTAGTGATTTAGTGGTTACAAAATACACCCAAGTATGTAATTGGCACTTTGCTGAGGACAGCATCATTTGGGAATCCACCTTCCATGACGAAAAGATAGGTAGGACCATTACTGTACCCCTTAATTATCCAAAATTAAAGGCAGATGTAATTTCAAGTATCTTTGCAAATTGTCTAAAATACCTTTCAAAGGATATATCAAGCAGAAGAAGCCGAGATGAGAAATTGAGGGACAAGGAACAAGAACAACTACTTAAAGCACTGAAAACTAGCATTGATGATTTATCCTCCTATCAAAAATCAAGTTGTTTTCAAAATTATTCAGACTTTCTCACAGTTTTCAGTTCATGGCAATGTCCATATGGATGGACCAGCACCCATCATAACTCACTCTGTAATTGTTGATAAAGATCTCAATGTAAAAACGTATATGTACTCCCAAGAATAGTTACTCAACTCAGGTAATATTAAAACTCCATCTTTATTATCTAATATACACCATTTGGATGATGTTCTGCATGTTCTTTCTGAGAATGCAGATGCTTCGAGGGAATATTCAGGTAAAGACCAGTTCAGAGCCACTATTAACCATGCTTACAATATTTTAAATAGCACAGAACTATTCACCGATGAAGAGACCCACACTGTCATTAAATTTATTTGTGAGCAACTAAAGCTTGCTATTAGTCAGAAGAACAGACACAGTTACTCATCAGTAAACAATAGTGTTTTGCTCTATGTTGTATACAAACAGTCCACATTCATATAGATTTATTAGGAGCCATGGAGCACCTGTTTTACCACACCAAAATACTCTGAAGTCAATATGTAATACATTGATGGTCGATCCAGTTCCCGATGAGATATATAACTTTTTAGGCTATGCAAAAAACCTTTTCAGATTTGTAAAACCTGGTGAGGAGTACATGATTTTATTGATGGATGAAATACACATTCAGCCATATTTAGATTTCAAAGGGGGTAATATTGTTGGAACGTCAATTAATAATACTTCATTAGCTACAACAGCCTATGTGCTTATGATTTCAAGCTTCTACTCCAATTTCAAAGAAGTTGTTCAAATCTGTCCTGTTTCTAAAATTGATCATAATCTATTATACAATATGACAAAAAAACTTATTATTGGATTAGAAGAACTAGGTTATAAAACTTTTTGTGTTGTAAGTGATAATAATGCAGTGAATAGTAAAGCGATGGCACATAAATTCTGTGAAAATGATGATTTAAAAATAGATGAAATTCCACACAATTTTAATGATTACCACTTTTTCTGGGAAATTGAAATTTTACAGTCTGATATTGATGTTATCAAGGATGAAAGCCCTCTCATCACCTACTTAGGTGGTTACTGTTGTTATGCCTTTTAAAGAAAAATCACTGCGATCATTTTAAGGAAAATTTGACACACACAGATGATATTGATATAGAAGACAAGCACAATATTATACAAAATTTGAGTAGAGGTGGCTTAAAATTCCCAAAGGATCCAGTTATTCATATTGTCATGCTAAGTTATATAATTTTCAATAAAGTTTTGGAAAGTGACGAGGAATCATTTTTAGAAATCACTGATAAGAGATGCACACTTTCTCAGTTGATAATTAACAATCTGAGTGATAATAATCACGACACTTCATTTTCGCGTTGCACAGTCCATTGCCCAGATTATATTATAAAACTAATTGTTATTGGCACAGTCAATACATTTTTGAAAAATTATTGTGCCAAAAGGAACGACAGCTTTGCAAGCGCGAATAAAGCAAAGAAACGTAAATTGACTACATTCACATGAGGCCGCAACATTTACATAGCTGTAGATAAATGTTTATTTGTACATATTTAGAATTTTGCACTTTAATCTTCGTTATTGTAATTTTTGTTATTTTTAATACTTGTTTTCTGTTTTCTAATTTTTGTTATTATTTTATGCTGTTATTTGTTTGTTGTTTTTATTAAGTTTTCGTTAATCTTTGTTATGTTTCTTCTGTTGTTTATTCTACTTTGATTTTATCTGTTTTTGTTATCATTTATCCTATACTTTTTCCTCCTCATCTTCCTTATTCCTTTCCTGTCAAGAGCTTACCTCAAACCTCCTCGTTGGTTCTTGCTAGACACAACTGTCTACAAGCACTACATTTTTTGTACAATTTTCAAGTATCATTATATTACATATACCTATAATAATAGTAAATTGTCCACATATTCCTGTGAAATTTTGTTGATCGGTTGTGACTAACACGGGGTTATTCATTGAAGAATTTATCATTTTTAGCAAGCTTTTATAACATCAACTTATTAATCTAATGTGCATGTAATGTTGGATGAAATATCAGTGAAAATCAGGGTGAAAATAGTTAATAACTACTTTAATATTTTCCACCAAGTTGCCTTCATATACCAAGAACACTTTTCTGAATTATCTGTTATTTACATCAGGTAGAGTATATTAAATATGCTGCAATAATATTATTCACTAGCGCTGGTGTACGGCACGCCGTGCTGTCGGCCGGCCGACCGGCCTACTCGTGGTGACGTCACGCGTCTGTTGTCAGGCCTTGTACTATCGGTGGTAACGGTACTGTGCATTCGTGACTGAAGCAGATATTCTTTATGTGAATGGTATTATCATTAATCGCTGCAGTCACTTGTTCACAAAACTCAACTCGCCTATCGAAATCATCTTCGGTTGACTCTTGCAATACTTTTATTTTGAAGGGATGAAATTTATGAAGTTTAGTAACTTTGTGTACATAGCCTAATGAAATACCAGTCGCAGCAATAATTTTTCCTAATGAAGTATTAGGATTTATTCCAAAATGACCCACTACCTCAACTTGAGCAGCTTCATCCAAAACTCTCCGATGATCACGTTCTTTTTGCAACAGATCTAGTTTGAATAAATTTAGTAACAAGGTCCAAAACATATCTATGCGAAGTTATCTTCCTCGGATGTCTGGCGTTAGACGTGATGGCAGTTTGCCGAGCACATTGATTTTGGGCATCATAAATTAAAATCATTTCCACGCTTTCGGATGTGTAAACCATTTTGGAATTAAAGTCTGAATCAAGAAATTAATTTTCACTATCCCAAAATTGTCACAATGGTAGCTGTCAGAAAATGAAATTATTTCTTTCCTTAGCAACAAATAACGAAGCAGGTATAACAATAAATATAGTTCGCCCAGGATATTTATGTTGATGAAAAGGATACAGAAAAAAATTCGGGTTGTTATTTGGTTGTTGCCACATCTAATCTTCCGAGTTGCTGTTTATGTTGGTAGCTTCCGTTTTAAATTATAAACGAATTGTAGATTTGGCAAACCCTAACAGGCAACATTTTGAACACTTTTTGAAATAAAAAGTGATATTTTTGTGTATTTTCTATGCGGACAAACTAAGATAAATAAAGATTTTTCTGATTTTGTCACAATCGACTGATTTAAAAAAATCAAATTGTCAAAATCAACGAATTCCTTTCAAGCAAGTCTTATTCGATACCCCTTGTCATTTAAAATTCTTAAGGGAATGGACCCTGGGGAGCCGAAGGTGAAAGGCGGTGAAGTAGTTTTTGGTTTAAAAGTTGTCCCCTTTGACAAATCTTTTGACGCGTTTTGGCGTTTTTTCTTTTAATCGGTGGTTTTCGATAAATCCGTGGTGGAAAGTATATTAGTATGTGTAAACATTTTTATGTTCAGATGTGATCGTGACAGACTGGACAGTCATTCATATTTACATATGGAGCAGATTCTCATGTTATCAAAACCATTGTTATCAATACAGCTGATATAGTGCGTCGGGATAATTTACCTGGATTTGCCAGCAATCCGATTAAGTTCGTGACGACGGCGTTAAGCTGGTTATTTACCAGCCTCCCTAGGCTTACCGTATCTGTCACAGTTACCCGCTACCTTTGCGAAATGTGCCGAACACAAATCTGATACCGCTTAAGGAAATATACACTGAAACCACAACGTTTGCAGGATATTCCATATTGTTTCGCAGCTAAATAAACATAGTTGGAACTTCACATCAAATAATAAACAGCGTTTGTTGTTGTGACGATGTTATAGTTTGTGCCGATTAGCTCTCCTATAAGAAGCTGACTCGTTCTATAGACTCGGCAGATTCACCAGGTTCATGCCAAATGTTTACTACCATAGATAGATACATCTATTTCCAACAGGCACGTACGCACCCAATAACCGCAAATGCTTAATATCAATTGAACATAGGAAGAAAAAACAACTAATATTATATAAAAATAAGCAACTGAATAACAAAAAAAATACTCGAAGAAGTTGAATATTAAATGAAGAGAAATTAATGTCACAGATGTTACCTATTAAGATATAATTGTTACAAATGATTGAAATACACCTGTTTTAATATCGCCATTTGGTCAAAATACTGGTTTTATGGTTACGCTGAGGCACCTCAAAGGGAATTTTACCTAACAAAAATTCACATATTATATTTCATAAAATAGTTTATGCAAAAAGGCTGTTGTTAGAAAAATGTTTTCAGAAAAACAAATTTTGCTTCTAGTAGCAAAGAGTTATCGTATCTTCACTCAGGAAATACATCTGCACTCTTAAAATGTAGATATTAAAAAAAAATCTCTGAACACGCTCCATCTTGCTACTAGGTATTGCGCAGTGTGGGTACCAAATCAATACACCATACCCTAACTTGCTGTGTATATAACTTGTATATAAAATTTCAAGATCTGACTCAGAGAAGGCTTTAGCATTCCTCATGCTGAACCCCAATATTTTATTAGCTGATAGAACAGTGGTATCTATATGGACAGAAAGAACGTTTTTTGATTGAAGAGAATTCTTAAATCATCGATTTGCCCTTGATGCTTAAGGCTAACGTTTCTGAGGCAATATTCAAAAACTAAAATACCCTGCTGTCTAGGAAGGAAACGACGAAGCGCCTGTCAGCAGTAAAGTTGAGATGATTGACTTGTGACCATGAAAATATCATCACTATATTTTGCTGCAAGACGGGGCCGTCATCGACAGCTGAGTAATATATTTTCAAGTCGTCTGCATACAAGAATTTTGAACAATGCAAGTCAAGAGTTAGATCGTGTATGTATAACAGAAATAGTGAAGGTCCTAGACTTGACTTGGGGAATTCCTGAAGTAGGCCTTATGAGCGGTGAACGGTATCCTTGATATCCAACATATTGTCTCATATTGAAAAGATAAGAGTTAAACAATGATAATCGGAGAACCCAAAGAAACTCAGTTTTTCTAATAAGATGCCTAAATCTACTCTACATTCTATGAAGAAACAACAACCTTTTTTCTGACTCGCGTTACGGCTGTAGCCTCAAGAGTTTCCTATTTTGCATCTTTACTAGTCATCCAAGACTAGCCTGCTCTTGTTTTTAGTATAATTAGTTGTGTGCTTACCATCGTCGATGTTTTCAATGGGTGGTGAAACGTGCTTTTGAACATTCTGCTTCTGATCACAGGTGGCTGCTGTCACCATGACAGGCGCCATCATGCTGGTACTTCCGGTGTGCGTGTTGCTTTTGTTTATTGCGCTGTATCGCATCGGCATCATGCTTTGTCGAACATTTCTTTCTGGCCTTATCAATATTATGTAAAGCTGGAACAGAGAGACGAAGTTAGTTAACAAGCTTCTTATCCCGCGTTTTACCTGCTGAACGTGTTGATGGCGCAACTATTAAACTAACCAGATTTCCCCAGCGTGCAAGTTGGCTATCAATTTACTTCTCTCATCAAAGATAAAAAACTTCATCGGAAGTTTGCAGCATTGCTTAAAAGCAATGTTTTATGTCAGTAACGATTTCAAGCATACGAAGTCGTGGGTAACAGCTAGTGCTCATTAATATTGTAAGCGAGAAGGTGTGGATGTTTGTTACACAGTCACGCCTAAATAGTTAGAATTTTGTTGAAATTTGATACAAACTTAGATTATAGCCTGGAATAGCACAGACTACTATTTATCCCGGAAAATAACTTTGAAATACCTCTTTCACGGGCTACAGCCCAAACGGCTCAATGGAATTTGATATGAAGTGTCTGACGCGGGAGCGCTTAGTTGCTGGTCCGGCCGAAATGAGAAGAGTATATAAATAGAACATTTGAGCCGTCTAAATGCAAACCCCGCCAAGTGCAAACCATACAGTTCCAAAAAAAAAAACGCGGAAAACTGTGTTGCGTAATACTATAAACAAAATGAATTTACTTTAATATCTTGTTGATGTAGATACTGCTACATATCATTCATCGTATTAGAGAGCATTAGCAAATGGCGGACTTTGCAGCCAAAATCAAGTGTTTTTAACCACAATGATGAGAATGCCAGGAAATGGCACGAAACCCTGTAAATCGAAACACACGGTCACGAGACTAAAACACGACTTTCGTATTGGTCACACGCACTTGGCGATTTTTGCAAACAAACAAATCTGCAATTGGCGATGTATTGAAAGTGAACTGAGTTCGATAGTAATGTAAATGCCCGGTTTTGAGAAATAATATCTTATAGAATGCAATTATCAACATTTCGTGTCGATTGACAGGTGATATCTTCATTTTCATTATTTTTGCATTCTTAGTGTGATCGTGTTGAGTTAGACTTGTTGGTGTTTTCTTTTATTCCAAGTACAGGATCCGTCAGAAAGGATGCATGTTTTTCGAATGGGTACTACATCGAGTGGGCTGGTCCCGTGTCGTTGGGGAAGGGCGTGTTGGATAGTGGAGAAGTGCCGTTTCAGTTGGCAAGATGGTTTGGAACGTTGAGCATCGTGTGTTCACTGTACGTCGGTACTTTCAGAATGGCAAGTCTGTCGTTCGGACGTAACGTGAGTTTCGCGTTCACTTTCGTGTTCCGCGTCGTGGGACAGTACCAGCCCGTAACACCATTTTGAGATGGATAGAAGCATTCAACACAACAGGTAATGTGATGAAGAAAAAACCGCCAGTGCAAAATCGTGCTGTTAGAACCCCCGAAAACGTAGACAGAGTGAGAGTTGACACGCTGCAAAGCCCGAATCGTTCCGTCAGTTTGAGTGCCAGTTCCCAGGAATCCACGCGTCCTCTGCACGTCGCATCTTGAAGAAGGCTTTAGTGTTTCATCTTTACAAAATCCAAGTTTGCCAATAACTGTTGCCAGGGTATTATGCACAACGTGTTCATTTTGCACAGCTCATTATTGAACAGTTGGATAACAATGATATGACGTTGTTTCTGAGTGATAAAGCACATTTTCATTTACATGGATACGTCAATAAACAAAATTGTCGATATTGGTTTCCAGTAAGCCCCAACAGTTGCACGAGCACCTCATGCATACCCCGAAAGTTACAGTTTTTTGAGGATAATGGAGAAACAACTACGGTGAATTCAGAGCGTTACATCCACATGCTGAAGGATTTTTTTTTCAGGAATTTCGACGTCCGCTCCCCGGACCTGTCAACGTGTGAGTGACCGACGCAATGGGCTGATTTCGGGAGAGGCTTGATTCCTGCATTTCGGCTCAAGGGCGCCATATGGCCGCCATAGTTTTTAGAACGTAAATTTTGTTTTACTCAAAAAATGGCATGTATTTCTGAGTATTTTGATATAATAAGATATTTTTTCCCATACTTGACTGAACTACTCATTGAAAAAACATGCGTTCTTTCTGACGGACCCTGTATAATCTATGTTCTGTCTAGAATTTTTGAACGTACGAGTCTTTCACATTTATGCTGGTCATTGTCAGTAGGACAATTTGCTTGTCATGGTCGCGTTATTTATGTTTTACCTATGTTGATATTCGATAACAAAACATAGTAGTGTCTGGAGATACAACATTATTATTGGTACAGTGGACCTCCGGTAAGCCGACAAACATTATGCAGGGCAGTGTCGGACTATCGAATTTGTCGGATGATAGAGCACTGCCTAAGACCCCCAATAGTCCAGAATTTTTTACAAAAGAGTACCTTGTAATCCGACAAATGACATATCCAATGGTAAGATTATATATGTTATGTATATGTATGTACTTTGAAGTACAAATCATACATAGTTTATGTATGTCGAATTTAGTAAATTAAATAACAATAGAGAGCTTACATTTTATTATAAAATTAAGCATAAATGCACATACATATGTACCAAAATAATCAAGAATTATTAATCATAATCATTAATGACTTTATCAAATTATAAAGCTTGGAAATGTTCATAAATTTTTTTTGTTTAAGGTTGTTATAACCCGAGATCAGAGCTTTGTCCCTCAGTATTCTCAAAAGTAAAAGTTCGTTGTAGGATGTACCATTCTCTTCAGCCCATTGTAAGCCTAGCTCAAATGCGTTAATTGCGTCTTGTGATGTGACTTGTGAAGCAGTTACAATCACGTCGTCGTTATTTTCCTGATTGCTTGTTGTATAATTAGAAACCTCTTTTATAATCTCTTCGTCAGAAATTTCATGAAAAACATTTTCCTCTTCATCCATTCCACGGCACCAGATTTCCAAATCTTCCGGACTTATCTATGTCTCAGTAGCGACTTGTTCTATAACTTGCGAAGTAACACTGATTTGTGGAATGTTGCTAGGAGTGGTGACTATATCTTTCCATAACTTTTTCCACGACGATTTAATAGCTGATGGCGGTAACGCATTCCACGACTGACAAAGAGCAAAAACCAAGTCTTTCATACATATTAAATTCTTTTAAAGTTTTTTCTATTGGTTGGTCTCTTGATACGGCTCTCAGAAGTAGATTTTTCTTATAGTCTTGCTTGACAAACTGAATGATATTCTAGTCCATTGGTTGAATCAGTGCATTCCAATTTGGCGGAAGAAACATCGCAGTGATGTGTTTATCCTCAGTTGTTAGTTCTTCAGACGGATGACCGGGAGCGTTATCAAAAAACAACAACGCTTTTTGAGGAAAATTATGATCATTTAACCATTTTCTAACTTCAGGTACGAAGCATTCATCAAACCACTTTTTGAAAACGTCTTTTGTCATCCACGCACTTTTTTTCCGTAATAGTGTACAGGTAAATCAATGTTTTTGAATGCCCGTGGGTTATTAGATTTCCCAATGACCATCATCTTAAGCGCGTGAGTGCCCTTAGCGTTAGCACATGTTAGTATGGTTACACGCTCTTTACTTACTTTTCGTCCAGGTTACAAGAAACGAAAGTTTTGTTAGGCATCACACGCCAAAAAAGCCCTGATTCATCTACATTGTACACCTGTGACGGATCAAGATTTAAATCGTTCACCTTTTTAATTTAAAGAGCTCTATGCAGGTGGCATCGTTAGAAAGTTTCTCTCCTGTAATAGTCATTAAGCGTATGCCATGACGACGTTTAAAACGTTCTAGCCATCCTTTGCTGCCCACAAAAACATATTTTTTTGTTATTTCCTTATAAAAAAACTTAGCTTTCATGGCCAACATGGGTCCTAAAATTGGTGCATTCCTATTTCTTTCCTGAAGAAACCACATGTATAAAGCTTCCTCAACTTCTGGATGTTCAGCTTTCTTGAGTGTCTGTCTCTTGCCTGTCCCGCAGTCAGTAGTTGACACGAACTTCTTGATCTTCTCGTATTTTCTTTTAATGTCATAAATTGTAGATCGGCCTACGCCGTACTCACTTGCTAAACTACGGAAAGTATCATTGCGATTTAAGCGGTCTAAAATATCACATTTTTCTTTAATTGCCAATGTTTTGTGCTTTCGCTTCGGAGTTTGTGATGACATTAATAGGTACTATACTGAATAAATAGTAAACAATGAACGCACACTAGGCCGTACCGCTATCACCAGTAGTTAAATTCAAATTAAGTAAAACAATGCTTACGTGTCGAGCACGATAGCGGTGGCGCGTACAAGTTGTAACCTGCGTGATCTACAATAGCGAAGATTGTCAAATACGTATGTATGTAATACATATTCAAAGACATGTCGGGTTACAGGGGGCGCCGGATTAGATAGGGGCCGGATTATCGGGGTCCTCTGTATTAGAACCATTTCCAGAAATTGGATGTTAACTGAGTGAAAAGAAAGGTGAAAACACTAAAGAGTGTTTATCCGATTTTAATGATTTTTGGCATATATGTTCGGTGTCCCTTACTAGTAAAATGTTTGAATTTTCAGCTTGATTTGTCAACTGACTGCAGAAGCTGGTTCAATAATGTGTTAAGGATCCACGATTTCTTATACAATCATTGGCACGCCTGGGCATCGTGTTGATAAGGTGGTCGATATCCTATTGTCCTTATTCCAGGCTATTACAACTTCTTAAGTAAGAGCTGCTAAAGTCTGTGTAGGGTGTTGCAAATTCAAGAGACTGCGACCTGTCATGTCCCAGACATGTTCAACTGGAGATAGATCAGGCAATCGTGGTGGCCAAGGTAAACGGTTGATGCAATGTTGATCCTGCGATCTGGCATTATCTTGCTGAAAAATTGTCTTTTGAATGGTGTTTAGGTATGGAATAAGATGAGGCTCCAGTACTTCCTGAACATAGCGTCGGGCTGTCATATTGCCTCTGATGAAAATTAGTGGTGATCTGATACCATAAGCAATAGCACCCCATACCATAACTCTCACGGTGTGGTGAACGTGCCCGACCATCCT